AGTGGACAGCACTTCGGATTCGTAGTCCTGAGGTTCCGGGTTCGATCCCCGGTGGAGGCGGAAACAAATGGGCAGTTTATTTCACTCTGATGCCCTTGTTCACCAAATAGTAAATAGGTACCTAGAAGTTAGACAGCTGCTACGGGGTGCTTCCTGGGTGTGTGTAACAAAAAGAAGGCCTGGTCGAGGACCGGGCCGCGGGGACGCTAAGCCCCGAAATCATATCAAGATAACCTCAAGATACGGTTGCAAAGAATTTTAGTAATTAGAAGCCTACATATTGAATTATTTATGGCAAATTAAATACTGAAGGCCAATGAATTTGAATCAAAATAAATCTTACCCAATTACTTTAATATTTGCTATATTCAAATACTGTTAATACTTTCACATCGCTTACTCATATAATATGTGGAAAATATAAAATATTTAATCCTTACCTAACTTCGCCTCAGCCATTATTTAGGAATTGAAGTGCATATTTTAATGTGGTCAACACTTACATGTAACAATTCAATTTATTTCATTATCTTAACAAGTTATATCCTATGATGTTACAGTTTCATTTAAAAAGTAATGATCATGTAGTAAGAACACTCTTAGCTCCGTACTTGACACCATTAAGTAATTGGTATATTTAGTACAGTAAATGGAAATCTCAGCTTTCTATTTTTATCTCAAAAATTATCTTTGCCAAATACATGTCTGATATTTCAAGCATTGTCAGTTTCTTTAGGGCTTTCTTTAAACAAAACAAAACCTTCAGAATAAGCTATATATTACTAGGAAAGGAAGATTACTATAAATTGTCTCCTTTGTTATATAATAGATATATTAATGTCATTAGTATTGTATATAACAAAATTTTGCTATTTTCGTTGTCTTTTTTTATTCAGCATCATATTACATGAGCATCGGATTGTTTTGTGTAATGTATAATTATAATAGGCAATATTACTTCACAGTAGTTTTTCCTTGTATAATTAGGAACTTACTTAATTTTGTAAAGCATGTTAATTATAGAGGTACAACTATTTATAAATCAAGTTATATAATGATTAAATAACGTTAATTTATTATTTACAATTAAAAATTAATTATATCCTAGCTTAATTCTGAAATTCCAAAATCACACTGTATAGTGGAGGAGGTTTTCCGCTGCCCCAACATATTGTTCTCTGCACTAAACATCAAATCAGTCACCACATATTCGCGCTTTCTGGCCCTTGAGTGTCAGTGATTGCTCTTATGGCATCCATACTGTCCTGAAAACCTGCCTAGGCTTCCCTAACCTTTCAGCTGTATCAAATTTTGATCAGAATTGTAAATACATTACTAAACACTGCCTTTATTTCATCTGATCCTTCTTTTACCGTATTAAAACCCCTAAATATTCCTTTATTGCCACTGCTCTACCTGTTGTATGCGTTCAAATACCTCCAAGTTTTTCACAGATTAAGGAGCAAATCAAGAAGAAAATACTCCCAACTATCAAAAGTCGCCACAGAGCCAAAGTAGCGGAAGGAAGATCCACTGTGATATGGTACGAACAAGCCACTGGGTACTACTTCAAGCCTGACAAAAAGATATCCAGAGACATTGCAGTAGCCATACACAGACTCAGACTTGATTACAAGTGCTGCTGGGAGGTAATAAACCCAATAGTTAAAAGAGTGTTATATCTGTGGAACAGGAGCAGAGGTGCCACTACTGCACAACTTACTGGAATGTGAAGTTACTGAAGCCCTGCGCATCAAACTAAACATTAATCCAACGACAGCAGCTGCATTAGATGCACAATCCACAGCCACTACAATGATTAGAAAAGCTGTTAAAGAATGCGATTCACTAGTGAATATTCTGCACCTACATCCGCAACCAAGATAATGTTATTAAAGCACAACTAAAACAGAAGCGAACAAGAAATAGGGAAAAAGGAGGAAACCCCACCTCCATTTAAAACTTTGACCCAAATATCAGAGTAACAAGGTTATTGCGAATAACTGCGAAGTCAATTACGGGCTCACCATAGCCCGTGCTACATGGACATTTTGTTCTGAGTAGCTAAATCTAAAACAACAACAACAACAACATCCTTCATTACATCACAAACACTTCCATCTAGATTTGTTTGGGATTGAACTTAAGGTCTATCATGATGGTTATTAAAGCCGTGGCTCACTATCCAACTAACGAAACTTTATTTCTGTATATACTGCAAGATTAAAGTAAAGTTAAATTAAATATACACCCATAAATAGGGCGCACATTAATATGAATATCTCATAGGCTGACATGTTTACTGACGTCCAGATATTGAATACAATTAATATCGAACTATATACTGAACTTTCATTTTTAAATAACGTGACTAAATCTTAATAATACAGACAGTAATGTTGAAACTTTCATACAGAAGAGCTTTAAGAGTTCGATTAGTGACGCATCATCAACTTTAATATAGCGGTTATTAATTGTTATATTAGGTCAGATAAAAGGCGATGACGTTATTTTCAGCAGTGATAAATATTTTCTTCAATATCTTATCAGCAAATCACGAGGGTTTCAGTCGATAGCGACGGTGAGGTCCTGGTACACCGTACTGTCACCACACTCTTACTGGTGCACCGTAGTGTGTCACCACACTCTTACTGGTGCACAGTACTGTCACCACACTCTTACTGGTGCACAGTACTGTGTCACCACACTCTTACTGGTACACCGTAGTGTGTCACCACACTCTTACTGGTGCACCGTACTGTGTCACCACACTCTTACTGGTGCACTGTACTGTGTCACCACACTCTTACTGGTGCACAGTACTGTGTCACCACACTCTTACTGGTGCACTGTACTGTGTCACCACACTCTTACTGGTGCACTGTACTGTGTCACCACACTCTTACTGGTGCACAGTACTGTGTCACCACACTCTTACTGGTACACCGTACTGTGTCACCACACTCTTACTGGTGCGCTGTACTGTGTCACCACACTCTTACTGGTGCACTGTACTATGTCACCACACTCTTACTGGTGCACAGTACTGTGTCACCACACTCTTACTGGTGCACTGTACTGTGTCACCACACTCTTACTGGTGCACTGTACTGTGTCACCACACTCTTACTGGTGCACTGTACTGTGTCACCACACTCTTACTGGTGCACTGTACTGTGTCACCACACTCTTACTGGTGCACTGTACTGTGTCACCACACTCTTACTGGTGCACAGTACTGTGTCACCACACTCTTACTGGTGCACTGTACTGTGTCACCACACTCTTACTGGTGCACTGTACTGTGTCACCACACTCTTACTGGTGCACAGTACTGTGTCACCACACTCTTACTGGTACACCGTACTGTGTCACCACACTCTTACTGGTGCGCTGTACTGTGTCACCACACTCTTACTGGTGCACCGTAGTGTGTCACCACACTCTTACTGGTACACCGTACTGTGTCACCACACTCTTACTGGAGCACTGTACTGTGTCACCACACTCTTACTGGTGCGCTGTACTGTGTCACCACACTCTTACTGGTGCACTGTACTATGTCACCACACTCTTACTGGTGCACAGTACTGTGTCACCACACTCTTACTGGTGCACAGTACTGTGTCACCACACTCTTACTGGTGCACTGTATCTTACTGGTGCACAGTACTGTGTCACCACACTCTTACTGGTGCACTGTACTATGTCACCACACTCTTACTGGTGCACTGTACTGTGTCACCACACTCTTACTCGTACACCGTACTGTGTCACCACACTCTTACTGGTACACCGTACTGTGTCACCACACTCTTACTGGTGCACTGTACTATGTCACCACACTCTTACTGGTGCACTGTACTGTGTCACCACACTCTTACTGGTGCACCGTAGTGTGTCACCACACTCTTACTGGTGCACAGTACTGTCACCACACTCTTACTGGTGCACAGTACTGTGTCACCACACTCTTACTGGTGCACTGTACTGTGTCACCACACTCTTACTGGTGCACTGTACTGTGTCACCACACTCTTACTGGTGCACCGTACTGTCACCACACTCTTACTGGTGCACAGTACTGTGTCACCACACTCTTACTGGTACACCGTACTGTGTCACCACACTCTTACTGGTGCACAGTACTGTGTCACCACACTCTTACTGGTGCACTGTACTGTGTCACCACACTCTTACTGGTACACCGTACTGTGTCACCACACTCTTACTGGTACACCGTACTGTGTCACCACACTCTTACTGGTGCACAGTACTGTGTCACCACACTCTTACTGGTGCACTGTACTGTGTCACCACACTCTTACTGGTGCACTGTACTGTGTCACCACACTCTTACTGGTGCACTGTACTGTGTCACCACACTCTTACTGGTGCACTGTACTGTGTCACCACACTCTTACTGGTGCACCACCACACAACTGGCTACCCTGGACACTCATCTCATTCACTAATACACACAACTGGCCACGCCACCACCTTCACGGGTCCTAAACAATGGGCATATGTATAGTAACACATACATACGAGACTGCACATATAGCTTTTGAAATTACATTTGTTGTTGCCAAAATATGATGAAGTTCATGTTATATGACACGTGTAGTGAATCAACAGATGGCGCCTCACGGAGCAGGCACCTCTGGCGTCATATGTCTGGTGCGCATGCGTCCTAATCTCTCCTCAGGGAGCGTCATGTATTTATGGCTGTGTTACGACGGCTCTTAAGACCTCTGGCAGAAGACTCCTACGCATGATTCACCAAGGTGCTCTTGCGGAGTTACTTGGGGTTTGGTTCTGGTTCACCTGTTTCTCACACAGAGGTCACTACTACTTTTCGTTTGACTAATCAAAGTTAAGGTAACAGTGTTCATCTGATCGTTTAGCCAACCACATTGCCGGTTTAGCTGGACAACTGACCAATCATGTATGTTTTATATCAGCAAATGTGTGTCAACAAAATGAGTTCACATACTCACTGAGAGGTACACGGAGATGGGTGGCAATCACCGGGCTGGTGGGACGCTCCTGAGGTCCCTCCGCTCCTGGCTAGTGTTTGCTGGTTTGCGCAGGTGGTAGTTTGGTGGTAGTTTGCCACTGACAGGGTGAGTTTGGATTTGCCATGGGGAAATCTCGGCCTCCAGTGAAAAGGACATTGTCAGCTGATCTGAAAATTACAATGCCGGTGGCCCTTGTAATGGGGCCGCCCTGGGGGTAGTTGGTTGGTGTCGCCCTGGTGGACGTGCTCCCCGCGCAGCTGTCGGCCTTAGTGGGCGTCCAGCTGCTTCAGGGCAACCGTGCTGTGGTAAAGTTCCACCATCAGGCTGCCTTTCAGGCGTTTCTCGGGCGGTGTGAGGGGACGTGTTTACCCTCTCCCTGATACCGGCGGTTCTGTTAAAGTGGTGAATCTTATTGTCGCCTTGACGTATGTGGCGATGCAGGGTGCTCTTTTCGCATTTCAGGACGATCTTTTAACCACCAAGGGAGCCGGTGGCTGAGTGGACAGAACATTGAACGCATAATCCTGTGGTCCCGGGTTCGATCCCGGGCGCCGGCGAGAAACAATGGGCAGAGTTTCATTCACCGTAATACCCCTGTTACCTAGTAAATAGGTACCTGGAAGTCGGATGTCATGGGCTGCGTCATGGGTGAGATGAGCACTGCGAGAGTCGACTGTCAACACTAAATGATTTTGGGCACAGAAAAACTATGTCATAAATCAAATAAAATCTAGCACATCCTCCTGTTTTGGTAGTACTTAGTGATTTTGACCATAGTATACATATAATAAGAATAATAATACATATAATAAGAATAAACTACAAATTAATGGTGTAACACTTGAATGGGTTGACCACTATCGGTACCTTGGCGTCACTGTCGGCTCTAACAAGGGGAAGAAAGAGGAGCTCAACCAACTCATAGGAACATGCAAAAGTCGACTCAGGGCACTGAAAGCTATGACCTGGAATGGACATGGAACCTCTATTGCCGTGCTTAAAATGATGTACACAGCCTATGTGCGCTCCGTCATAGACTATGCCGCACCAGTTCTGTGCACCTACTCCCAAAGCGATATGAAAAGGATCGAAAGCATTCAGAATGAAGCCATGATAATCATTCTTGGAGTTCCAAGAACTGCCAAAACGTCCAATCTACGAGAAGAGTTGTCCCTCCCTAGTGTTAAAAGCAGAATTAAGGAGCTGAATGCTAACCTTGCAATTAGGATAGTCAGAGATCCCCATTACAATGATATTGCTATGAAAAAACTGAGTTCTGTGCTACTTTCAGCGGGAAACAGGAGAAGCAAAAAATGGCATCACAGATCAGTCTGCTACCTCGAAGAACTTCACCTGCTTGAGCAAGCCCATGAGCTCATGCCTGTAGAGAGGTTACCTCCCTGGGAGGATGACTCATGCAGGATTATCATTAATGAAATGGCAATGAAAAAATCCAACATGATACCACAAGAAATGAGGCACAAGTATCTCGAGGAAATTTATAAAGAAGCCGGAGATGAACTAGATCAAATCTACACTGACGGGTCATCTAATCCTGTCAATGGCAGGGCTGGTGCAGCATATACGGTAATCAAGGATAATACTTTCCAACGCAGAAATGAAGAAAAAGCGCGTATTGAGAACTATGCCTCTTCAGCGCAAGCAAAGCTAACTGCCATTGTTATGGCGTTAAGGTTTCTTGAACGGAACACTAATGGTGCAGTGATTTGCACCGATTCAAAAGCAGCACTTCAAAGCCTTAGTAAAAATCGGGCAGAAAATCTTGCAATAGTCGCTGAAATTAAGAGAGCTGTGAGAGTACTTACCAATCAGGGAAGAGTCGTCAAGTTTCTGTGGATCCCTCCCATGTTGGAATATGTGGGAATGATCGAGCAGATGTGCTGGCTGCTGAAGGCGCTGAAGGAGACCATATTGAATACTTTATACCCAAGACTCTACTACAAATTAGAGGTATTGTCAGGCAACATCACCGTGACAAGGTAACTGAGGAAAGGAGGATAGAAGCACAAACCAGTGAATCTGTACGATGGTACAACATGGTTGCAGCTGGTAATCCCAATCATTATGGACGAAGAGGAGGTGGACGCGGGAGAGAGTCAGTAATAGCGAGAATCCGTCTGGGATACAAATATCCATGGAGATTCGGAGTGGAAACAACTGTTGATCAGCGAAGCTGCAGAATCTGTGATGAGAGTGACGGACACCGCCTTGACCACTATCTACGTGAATGTGAACACCTGAGAGACATTAGAAGTATGTGAAGAATAATAAACCCCACATTGTTTGAATTAGGAAAACACTATTTGTCAAATATTGATACTGTTCTTAAAAGATTTCCCCATTTTGCACCCGCAAGATAACGTGAGATTTTAAGGGTTGACAGCTGTTAATCTTCTTGTTTGAGGAGCTGTTCACTTGAGACAGTTAAGCAAGTCCCAGCTGTGTCTGGGTACAAGTGACAGGATGAACAACCCAGCGGGTTTTCTTCCTATTGGGGAGTGTTGTACATGCTGCTATGGCGGTGTGTCCACTCACAAGATGAGTGGCACTGCCCAATAAACTCGCCCCTCAGGGCAAAATTAAAAAAAAAAATTAGTATACATATATACTAACGTACAATGAAATTAGTAAGTAGAAATCGGTACTATTAAGTTGGACAAACTGGAAAACTATTTTTGTCATGTGTTGCCTTGACAAACTAAACTAACCTTCCCAGGCCTAATACACTATAGCTAAGGCCTAATGTGTGTGTGCTAAGGCCTAAGGTACATATGTGTGTGTGCTATACTAGGCCGAGGAATATTTAAGTTCGTTTTTAGCTTAATTTTTTTTAAGAATGCCTTACTAGTCAGTATACTACTATCTAAAAGCTAAGTACCTACAAATTCGTGACTATTGACGATCGTCACAATAGGTACTATCTAAACAGGAGGATGGGTTGTTAAATCACATACAACTACAGTTAAAATACTAGTCTCTGGGGTAAGGTGGAACATAAAAGTACTATTAGGAGAAAGAATTCGAAGCAAATGCCATTAGCAAATTTCGACCCATAAGCAAAAAGATCCTTCGCTGTACATATTAATGATTTGCAAAATTGTAAAAGCGGGACTCGCCGTGGGAGTAAAGTGAGCACACGATGAGAGGGAAGAAGAAGCAGCGATATCTGGCTTATACTTTTGGCTGGAAGAAGGAGAGCAAAGTGTAGAGAGGAAGTAATTACAAAGTATTGTAGTTTGTGATCTCTGCCACAGTCTTGGCCAGAGACGATGTCGTGGAGGCAGGGATGAGGAAGGTAATTAGCTATGACCGCGAGGGAACAAGGGGCAAAAAGCAGAGGGAAGGATGAGAGTGATAAGATGTGGCCCGAAGGAGCCCGTATTGGCAATGGAAGCGCTGAGAAACATTGCCGATGGGTCGAGGTCAGAAAGGGACAAGGATATGGAGAGGAGTGTCTTGAAGGACAATCTTGGCTGCAGATTGTGGAGAGGGAGGAGAATGAGGTGTATCAGTCGAGGCTACAGTGGTGTCCACATGGAAACGATCTCGGGAACCCGGGAACTGTCGAAGGGTCCTGATCACCAGCGTAAGCATTTCCGACGTTCTGGAAGAGGTCCTGGCTCCATAATCGACTCCTAACCTCGGACAAGTATGTTTCTTAAAGTGCAGAATGGACAGGTCTATTATATAACAAGCACAGGACTGCAAGAATGCATGGTGGCCACTTAGGGTCGGGTCGTGCAAGTAAACATAACATGGCAGGTTTTGCCACAAAGCGGGTTAACAGGGCACTACTACAAACACAAGTCCCAAGGTCAAGCTTCCAACAAGATTGCACAGAAAAGGAAAGGGAACATGTTAAAAGTAAATAGGATAAGAAAAACCCTATTTACTGAAGACAATCAAGGTAAAGAGTGTTTGATTGGAAAATAAAGTACCCTTGGCACTCAAAAATAGTTTTAATATCGTCATGACAATCTCTAAGATCTCTGCTGCCAATAGCAAGATGGAACTTGGTGTTCTAAGTTCCATCTTGCTATTTGTTGGTGACCAAAAAAATCATTTGTTGGTGACATTTTCAGGAACCTCACTGACATAAAGTATGTTATCAGATCAATCAGCTTCTTAAGGCTGGACATAAACAATGCACGGGCCAACTGACTGAAGCAACTGACTGAGTATACAGTTGGAGATCAACAATCGCATGCTCGTCAGTATATTTAAGATCAAGATATTTTATCTTTATAGGTGAATCAAACACTTTAAACATAAGAACATGCAAGGCACGAGTGAGGCCGAGGGCGAGTACAACACTGCAACACCCCGGGAGTAGTAAGGGAATATACAGTATTGTCGTGACTACCGGGGAACTTGCATCAAACGAGAAAATGACTACTCTGGATAACTAGTAGAAGCCACTGTCACAGAGGCGGCAGGAGGAAGGAGGAGAGGGTAGCAGATCAAGAGGGAGATCAGGGTACTGGTGCTAAGTCACGACCTAATACAGTAAAAGCTGTAGCCAGCATGGGGCATCTATCCCCCTCCACCATCTGTCCCCTTGGATAATGGAACAGCAAATCTAAAATGGTCCCAACTTTTAGGTCGGGTCACCTGATACTCAAGTCTAAAGGAGTAAGAAAGGATGGTTGAAGAAATACAAGACATACAATAGGGTATGTCTTGTATTAGACTTCACTTCCCTCGGCCACAAACACCACAGGGCCCAACAAGGGTAGGTATAAGCATCTGGGTGACACAAAAGGCAATACAATATATGAAGCTAACCAATAGTGTCTGACAGGCAACTAAGCTATCAATAGGTATACCAACCCTTTAATTGAAGTTTATCGAACTTGGGCTAAGCCTGCTAACCAGACTACTCCATTGATTCAGTCGGGAGACAATGAACCTCTTGTATTATCCCCTTCCATCCACCATACAAATATGCCTTCCAGAAAGGATACGTTCACTTTCAATCGCTTCTCCTTATGGTTTACACTCGTCCAGCTCCTGGCTGGAGGAGCCATTTATAATTAAAGCAAACACTTAACACTTTATAATGGGATTTTAGAAAATTGTATAAAACTTCCACACGTTGAGTGTCCTGGTCTTTACAAACTAGTTAACTTCCAAAGGATTATCTCAA